GCAACCATAGCCGGAAGACTTTCTAACTGCAATTGTTCCAGCAATACATTATTCATAATTGGTTTCATAAGATAAGGCTATCCATTGCTAAAATCAATATACTAAGCTACCAGAATCAATATCCAATCAAGAAAATGCCCATTAACTAAAAGGGAAGAATATATATATATATATATATATATATATGAATTCAGTAATGATAAACCCTAATTATCACTCATGATTCCACCGATTAAATTGACAAACAAGCTGCTTCAAAAGCCAAATAAACCAAGAACCTAGCAATAAAACAGTTCATTATCAAACAAGAATAGAATACCTTCTTATCGGACGCAGATGTGGCGGAGAGGAGTTGCTGTTGCTGGTTTTGCTGAGCAAGAAGGCCTTCGCGACGCTTCTTGAGCAAGCTCTCCTCTCTCTTATTCTTCCGGATCTCCACCATGTTGTCCTCCCTTCTCCTCCGACCTTCTTCCGCATCCACTACCACCTTGTACCTGTTCCTCCGGACCTCAGTCCTCGCGCTTGGTCTCAGAGACATAACTACCCTTCGCCTTCGTCTCTTCCTCAATCAAAATCAAATCAGATCAGATTGGTCACCGAGCAAGGAGCCGACGGACTCAATAGCAGTGATCGGCGGTTGAAAGAGAGCGACGCCGGTAAAGAGAGAGGGAAGAGGAAGAGGTATTTTGGAGTGTTTTTGGATTTAAAGTGGACGAAGAGAAATGGGGGCGAGGACGGTAATCCTGTTATAGAGAGGGGGGGTTTATTTAAATGTTTATTTATTTAACGTTTCAAAATGGGCTTGGGTGGGGTGTTAATTACGAGAACACCACTGTTTTTGAATTTGAAACTTGGGGGAACCCTAACGTACCCTCCTCCTCCGCGGCTCCGCCGTTATGAACTCCAGCTCACGAATAGACATGGAATACTACTTTTTTAAAAGCAACAAGAAATATGATCTAAACTACTTTAATAATCGAACATTTTCATAAAAAAAATAATATTATAATCTAAATTTCATAATTTGAAATTATTTTTTATTTAACCATTCTTATTTTACAGTTGAATAAGTATGACAAAACAAGAATTTTATGTTTTATGTAATAAAATCTCTATATGCTGATTTTTTTGGATAATTCAAAACACAAGTGCTCTTTATTTTATATTTTTATGTAATAAAGTAGTGCTCTTTTTTT